CACAAATGTTGTTTGAGGGATGTTTCATGAGGTTCTTTTTTCCTCTGAAGGATGGATTGAATAGAGACCCAGGAAATTGGAAAAAGACACAAGACACTGAGGTCATGTCAGTCATTCCCTGAGTTTAGTGAGAGCTCACAGAGCTCTTAATAGGCACACCAAGCCATAGTAGCAATCGGAGCTTATAATATACTAGGAGAATGCTTAAAAAAACACTTTCCTTACTCTTGGAGCTCACAGAGTAGCGAGCTGAGCTGAGCCAAGTCAAGGCTGAGCCACACTAAGGCCAGCAGTCCTCCCTAGCCTTAACCAAGCAGAGCAGGGCAGAGCTAACCAGGTGCTCCTTTTTCTCTAAAAGGGGCTGCATAGACAATAATGGCGCACTGTCAAAAAAAAACTTGTGTGTTATATTCAATGGTGTAAAACAGCAAAATCCTTATTACATAAAAAGAGCCAAAGCACAGCACAACTAATAACATAAGTTGTTTACCCTGTGGCATTCAAATTTGATATGATAGGAGGTGAGGGAGCCAGCCTATAACCCATTCTGACTACATTTGCAATACTAGGAGAAACAGAAAAGAACAACATATATCATATGGGTAGTAGTGGTATAGTGACTTCTCTGTTGTTGTTTTCCTTCCCTGGGGCTCGTCTGTACCGTCAGTGGAGAAGTGTCTTTTTCATCCCAAACTTTGGCCTTTAAAATGAGTAAGACTATCCACTTTCAGCTCTGTCCCATTTGACTTTATGTCAGACACTCCAAGGATGGTCTTTGCTTAGCAGACAACTCCCCGAGTCAGGGCCAGGTCAGAGTGGGGTGGACCCTCTCCCATGAGGACTAGACAGGAAGCTGCACAGGTACCAGGATGCACATCAGAGAGGCTGTGCTTGATCCCTGAGGATTCTGATTTCAGGCCCAAAGTGACCCCTGGTGGCCAGAGAAGGTGTTCTCTCAGCCTGGGAGGGCTCAGCCCTTGACAGTCAAAATCTGTTATAACCAAATAGTAGAATGAGTGATTTTATAATGGAAATTTATTTTCTGACAGTTCTGGAGGATAGAAGTCCAGGATCACAGCATCAGCAGGCTTGGTCTCCCCTGGAGCCTCTCTCCATGTCCTGACATGTGCTTTCCTCCTTTCATGTTGTCTGTGTCCAAATCTCACTGTCATGGCACCAGCGTTTTTGGATAAGGGCTCCAATGTACTTTTTTTTTGACGTGTGGGAAAGAAGATCTGGAATGTTTTGAGATAGTGACTTTATGATTGCTGCTTTGATAGCTCTGCTGCTGAATTTCAAACGAACTCACTTTCTGGTGGAGTATTTAGATTACACAGGAACCGGGCCCCTGTTCTCTGTGTCAGCAGATGTGAGTCGTGTGCCTTAGGGGAGGCCCATGCCCCTCACAGGCCCCTCAGGTGTTGTGACACCTTTCTGGGGACAGGGAGGCAGGGATTGTGCCAACTCATTGGTTTCATGTGGGTGTGAGGTCTGCTCTGAGGACTGCACTGAGACAGGGAGGGGGTGTCAGGCTGAATGGAGCTGCACCCACTGTGCAGAACAGAGACAGGTCCACAGCACCCCCTGCTGCCCAGACTTCAGCATCTCTGTGACAATCATGGCAGGAGACTATCCTGAGAGCCTGGTCACTGCCAGTCCACTCAGGAGTCACCCCTGCTGTTCCCAATGGTACTGAAATTAATGATCTGGAATGTTTTGAGATAGTGACTTTATGATTGCTGCTTTGATAGCTCTGCTGCTGAATTTCAAAGCTGAACTCAGTTTCTGGTTGAGTATCTAGATTGCACTTGAACTAGACCCCTGTTCTCTGTGTCAGCAGATGTGAGTCATGTACCTTAGGGGAGGCACATGTCCCTCATGGGCACACAAATCTCAGGACTCAGGTGTTGTGACACATTTCTGGGGACAGGGGGGCAGGGCCTGTGGAAACTCATTGGTTTCAAGTGGGTGTGAGGTCAGCTCTGAGGACTGCACTGAGACAGGGAGGGGGTGTCAGACTGAATGGAGCTGCACCCACTGTGCAGAACAGAGACAGATCCACAGCACCCCCTGCTGCCCAGACTTCAGCATCTCTGTGGCAATCATGGCAGGAGACTGTCCTGAGAGCCTGGTCACTGTCAGTCCACTCAGGAGTCACCCCTGCTGTTCCCAGTGGTACTGAAATAAATAGTCTTCTGAAGATATTTCGTCTTGATTTCTAGAAGAAATGTGAAAACATGGCAGCCTTGCAGTTACATGAGAGGGCAGAGGGCTCTGGGCACGGCCCTGAACAGCTCCTACCACAGGGGTCAGGGGTGTGGGTGACCACCCTGAGAGGGCAGTGGGTCCTTCTGGGGACAAACACAGCCACCACCACTTCTAGATGAGGTGCAGGAGATGGTTCGGAGCAGATGGTCCTCAGCAGATGGTTCAGAGCACTGATCTTCAGGGCCATTGGGTACAGTGGGGTGTGGGGGAATGGCAGGACCCACACTCCGGGGTCACAGTTTGGGGTGAACCTGTCGTCAGGTCACACTGTGTGTGTTTATGTAGCTCCTATTCCAGAGTCAGAAGGTGACCCCTCCTTTCTTCCCTTTTTCCCTCCTGTGCTTTTCCTGGTATAGCCAAGAAATTCTTCCCTAATCTTACTCTGAAGCTTTCTTCTAATACTTTATACTAAGTATTTTGCAGTTTAGCTTTTACAGTTGGGTCCTGCATTTATTTATGAGTTTGTATTTTGATATCTGGCTTTCTCTATGCCATTCGTAATTGAGATGTCCTTTTCTCACTTAGCGTCTGGGCACCCATGGAGGAAATAATAAGACCATAAGAGTTTATTATTGGGGGGCGGCAGGTGGTAAAGAGGTTAAGGCAGGCAGACCCCATATAGCCAACTCTGTGGTTTAAGTCCTGGACCTTGCAAGCTACAAAACATGCCTGACAATTTTGCATGTCCAGAAACTTGAAAGAGTAGGAGAAGGAATTATGGTGTGGCCATCCCACCGGGGAAGTGTTTTCTTCCTTTCCCTCTCTTTGTTTCTGTTGTCTCTGTCTCTCTCCAGTGAGCGCAAGGACTCTACGACAAAGACCACGGGGCATTGATCTGCATAGCTTTCGGTGTATCATATTAAGAAAATGAGAAAGCGTGGGACCTCCAACTTCATTCTCCTTTTATGATATTGCTTTTGACTATCAGCATCTCTTGAGGGTCTCTATATATTTTAGGGTCTATTTTCCTACTTTTGCACATGCACGGTGAGGCTGTTCATAGGGCTATAATGTGTCTGCAGATCCCTTGGGTGGTGTTGACTTCTTGACGATGTTATTATTCCAGTCCGCAAGCGCAGGGAGTTTTCCCATGTATCCGTGTGCTCTTTACTTTCTTCTAGCAACATTTTCTGATTGGAAGGGAATGCATATTTCCCCCATTGGTTATGTTTCCTTCGAAGTATTTTACTCATTTATGATGTTATAATTTGAATTGTTTTCTTAGTTTCATTTGTGGTCATTCATTGCTCCCGTCTTCAAATAAAATAGATTTTTCCATGTTGTTTTTGAACCTTAAACTTCCGCTAAATTTCTTGAAAAGTTTTCACAGCAAGTTTTAGGATTTTTAATTTTTTTAGACTTTTTTGACATGGAAGATTATATCTAAAAGTAGAGATACTTTTTTTTCCCCACTTTCAATTTCTATTCATTTCATTGTATTTTTTCTTGCCAAATTGCTTAGGCTAAAGCTTCCAATAATGTCTTGAGGAGCATTGGTGAGGTTGGGTGTCTTCATCTAGATTTTGATGTTCCAGAAAAATAAACTTTATTCACCTCTGCACACAATGGGAACTGCGTTTTCACGTGCGACCTTCATTACGATGAGGTTCTTTCTCTCTAGTCACAATTTCTTGAGGGTTTTTTGTTTGTTTTAGTTTTAGATTTTTATAGGTTTGTATGTGTGCGTGTGTGTGTGTGTGTGTG